AAAGTCTTAATGTAAATATACAAAAAATAAATGCAAAATTAACATACTGCACTACTTGTTCCCAGTTCATCAATTTTGGTACAATTTTAAATGCCTTTGGGATCTTTCCACTTCTATACTTTGAAAGCACTTTGCCAATTTCCCTATACATTTCTGCAACTTCAGAGTCCAGTTCTTGTATCTAGAAAAAAGGAGGATATAAAAATAATGTGAGACTTAAAATTAGGAGATAAAATAGCAACAGAAACATAGATTACCTGAACTCCATTCTGAGCCAGAGACATGGTTTCAAGTTCAAACTTCTTCTGCTCAATTTTTTCCTGAATTATATCAAAAAGCGTTCTCGTAGCAGGGCCTTCTCTCTTCGCCATGAATTTTTCTACCGCTGCCTCCTCCTCAGGGTCAATGTCCTGAAGAAACTTCAATTAGAACACTATATCATCCCGAAAAAAATACATGCAAAAGCTGACACTTTCTCAACAAAAAATCCATCTATTGCTTTCAAAACTTTGACTACCCCAGCACATCATACAATGAAAAACCGAATAAAACGCATAATCTACAAATGAAACTAATAATTGTGAATGAAAAAAAGATAACGCACAACGATATTATCATCGTAGTCGTTATCTTCCGAAACCTGATCATCATCGGACAAAGATGCAAAAGATAGCTCTCCAAGGCTCACCTTCCTCGGCCTAAAAAGAAAGCAAGTTACAGCAAAAAAGACTCGCTTACTGCTGCGGGGCAAATATCAATTGCATAAATTAACAAAAACCGACTTTATCTAACAGAACATAGAAAGTACAAATCCAAGAGACACTCGACCTTTTCTGACCTTCCACACTTGACGTTTGAGGACTGCATTCTTCTTCAATTTCACGTCTTTGTCTTCTTGCAACTTTAACAATTTTCAGTGACAGATCCTCATCAATATACTGCAATATCTTTCATTACTTTTGGCAAACCTACTTTAAAAATCGCTGAAAAATCGTGTTATTATCTCCCTCTATCAGTTCCTAAAGATTTTTGCTATTAAATTATAGATCCAACATATATAAACGTAGAAATTTCAGGAGCACTTCACCAACCGGTTTAGACTTTTTCAAGCTTCGCTGTTTTACACGAGGAAACGCTCGCTCTGATACAGTCAAAGAAGATTCTATCTGCTTGTCTAGTGGGAGAGTAGAAGCTCCAACAAAATCACCAGTACCGGACCTAATCTTCCGAGACTTTAATTTTTTACCCATTATTCGCGCTAAAATACTGCAACAGCATAAACTTTTCAAAAAAAAAAAAAACAAAAACAAAAAACAATTTTTTTCTACTTCCAATACAGCATATAGTATTACGAACAATAATTTCACAAAATGACAATCAAACAATGTATTTTCAAGCTTTTTCATTGAATTTTTTCACTGAATAATTTCACGGAATATTTAACCAAATAAAAAACTATACAGCTCCTAAGTGTGCCACTAAATGTGGTCCCACTGTCTTATACTATCGGGTTTTTTGCACATTACATACCGGCCAATAAATCTTTACTCCAATAACAGAACATTCCCTTGTCAGTACTTCCTTAGCTTATTCCTTCTTTCCAGTTACAATTCAACGAAGCAGAAAAAAAAAAAGGGAAAAAAAATACACAACTTCTAATGTTAACAATGTATGTACAAAAACAATCAGTTGACCTTAACGATTGTCCATTCTTTTAAGTCTTCATTCAACACATGAGTCCCCACTAAAGATAAGAAGAATTCTGAACTCGTTCAGTATACTGATATGCCCTCAATCCAT